CCTGTACGTACCAAGTTACTGGCCACGCGACCAGCCAGTGACAATACGGATATCGCGAGTTCCAATTACGTGGTGGATTCTTCAGGGTCACCAGCAGTACGCATGGATAGCGGAAATGCAGCTGACTCTCAGAGAATCCAATCAATCGAGAACTCTGCTGAAAAGTACAACGGCGCCTTCCGTATGATTGGGGAAAAGATCGGGGAACTAAGGAAGATGATGGACAGTCAGAGGCACGTGAACCAGCAAATGAAGAACGTCCTAACCAGCATCTCGAAGCTCTTCGAAATCGTTGAGGGTAATGATCCAGAAGAACCTCAGTTAGTTCTTCAGTGAAAGCGACTCAAACAGACCGGCCAGTCAAAGGTGATAAAACAGGGAACAAGGGCAGGTCGGCGAACGAACCCACACCCGAGAACCACCCACAACAGAAAGGAAAACGCATTCGTGTTAGTCTGAGGACACAAATACTGCGAAACTTCAAGAGGCAGTCGAAGGAGTACTGGCAGGTAAAGCAGAAGTCAGGACCCTAACTGAAATGGTTCACATAGAGATACATGATATCGACGAAGTTACGACAAGCGAAGAGGTGTGCTTAGCTTTAAATGGCCAGGGTGGGTCCACTAAAGGGCAAGTATCCGATATCCGGTCGATGCGAAAAGCATACGGAGGCACACAGACCGCAACCTTACTCCTATCCGAGAGCGCTGCTAATAAGTTAGTGGCCCAAGGTAAAATCAGAATTGGCTGGGTTATCTGCCGAATAAGACATAAAATACAGCCAAAGCTCTGCTACAAATGTTTTGAGTTCGGCCACATATCCAAGGGCTGTCGAATTAGCGACGATTTTGGTAAATCGTGCTTCAAGTGCGATCAAAGTGGGCACACGGCCAAACTATGCACAAATGCACCACGGTGCTTATTATGCGTAAAACGTGGCAGCATTTCTACAAGCCACCAGGCAGGAGGCAACAAATGCCCGGTATATCAACAGGCGCTAAGCAAAATAAAGGTATGATGAGACTTTTGCAGCTTAACCTCAACCATTGTCAAGCGGCGCAGGACCTCCTGTCGTAAACAATATTAGAAGAAAAAAAAGATATTGCGATACTCAGGGAGCCATACAAACTGAAATCGTCACAGTGCTGGCTTCAAGATCAAAGCGGAAAAGCGGCTCTCTGGTCATGTGGGAACCCAGCACGCTGGATGCAAGGTGCCGTGTCCGAAAATGGTTTCGTTGGTGCAGAAATTGGCAACTTGTACGTATACAGCTGCTACATTGCGCCAAGCATAAGTATACAGGCATTCGAAAATATACTGTTGAATATAACAATTGATGCTAGAGGCAGGCAGAATGTTCTTATAGCAGGCGACTTCAACGCGTGGGCGCAAGAGTGGGGATGCCGCAGTACAAGCCCAAGAGGGAGAGCTCTGCTGGAGGCTTTCGCTTGTTTGGACGTCGTTCTACTTAACACGGGATCTGAACACACCTTTAGCCGAAACTGTTTTGGGTCAATAATAAACCTGACCTTTATCAGTTCCGGGCTATATAGATTCACTGAATGGAAACATAGCACGTGTTATACGCAAAGTGATCATTCAGCTTTAATTTGCAATATCAACTGCGGACGAGAACTGTCTAAGCGGACTTACAACCCCGGAATATCGCCCGGCTTTAGACCCCCACTCGTTTACCAGCATGCTATTATCCACCGTTTACCAAGGGTCAGCAGACTCCATGGAGAACTTCCTCCACGTATCGTCATGCGGTTTACTGGTGGAACGATAACATAGCGGACCTGCGAAAGAAATGTCTAAGATGTAGGCGAAACGCTCAGAGAGCTAGGGAAAGAGACAACTTCGTGGTACTTCGTGCGGCTTATAACAGTGCACGCGACGCACTAAAGAAAGGAATTCAAGAAAGTAAGCGGCAATGCTTTTTAGAGCTTTGCGATGATGCTGAACGGAATCCTTGGGGCTCGGCTTACAAAATTGTTTCAAAAAAGCTGAAAGGCAGAAACATGAATCCGACAAACGCTGCATACCTAAAGTCCGTTGTGGAGACACTATTTCCCGTACAGAGACCGTTAGTGTCCACTATGGATGGTGATCCGTTGAGTGCTGTTGGCCCTGTAACGGAAGAAGAAACAACACTCGCAACAGCTAAAGTGGAACTAAATAAAGCTCCTGGCCCCGATGGTGTGCCCAACATTAACGAATGGAACTTTTCCTCAAATCTGGAAGAGGCAAAAGCTTGTTTTAATACCTACGCCGGGTAAACCTCTGGATGATCCCTCAAGTTTTCGGCCTATTTGTCTGCTGGACACAGCAGGTAAAATCTTGGAGCATATAATTGCCAAGCGTCTCGACAGGGAAGTCCAAGAGAAAGGGGGAATGTCGGCAAACCAATTCGGGTTTAGAGAAGGGAAATCCACTGTCATAAGCTTGTTAAGAAGGATGCGGATATGAATAATTTGCGGAGTATTAATTTCAAATTTGGTGTTGAGCCAGCTTTTTATGACCAAGTCCTTAATCCTAATGTTTGGCCGTCGGAGATTAATGTGAGACCTTTTCGTTTTTTTCAAAAAGTGGGAAACTCAGAACCGACGAAATAAGCGTATCACGTAGCTCCTATGAATCAGCGTTCAAAGGTCTAAAAAATATACTTCCAAAACATGTCTGGCATGCGCACAAAATCGAAAGATGTATATTTAGCTACGTCTCGTGTCGAATATGATGTTTACGTTTTGGTCGAAACTTGGCTCAATAACGATTTCTTTGACGAGGAGTATTTTGATCCGAGCCTGTTCCAGACATATCGCAAGGATAGGGATGCGGTGAAAACTGGTCATTTAAAAGGCGGCGGAGTTTTAATAGCTGTAAAACGCAGTTTAAGTTCTACGTTGTTTCAACTTTTTAACCAGGATTCTCTTCTGGATCAATTATGTGTGTGCATTTTTGGCTCCTTTGGTAAACTTTTCATTTGTGTATCTTACATTCCACCTAATAGTTCCGATAGTTTATATAATGATCACGTAGAAAATATTGTTAGCCTCTGTGATTGTAATGATAAATGTAATTTTTGTATTCTAGGGGATTTTAATCTATCAGACATTAGCTGGTCTGATCTACAACATAAAGGTATCTTGACTCCAACTAAAGTTAATAGAGCTCATGAAATCCATCTATTGGATAGTTTTTTTAGTTTGAATTTTACCCAGATTAATACTGTTTTTAATAGGCTGTTTAAAATACTGGATCTTGTTTTTGTGGATGAAAATTTAATTTGCGATCTTTGTGAATGTGATTCGCCAATCGGTAAGACCGATAAGCACCATAATCCGCTTAGCTTAACTCTGAATTTCTTTGAGGGTATTACAATGGAACCCAAGAAACCGGTGTCTTACGACTTTCGAAATGCAGATTTCCTTGCTTTGGGTTGTACCATCTCTGACATAAACTGGAGCAATCTCCTTTATTCAGAAGATGTTAGTGAGTGTTATGAAGTCTTTTTGCAGATAATATCAAATATATTTTCTAATAATCTTTCTATCCTTCCGCCCAGAATCCACAAATTACCTTGGTACACCCCGAATCTTAAAAATTTAAAAAACAAACGGAATAAATACCACAAATTGTATATTGCCAATAGAAATGACAATATTTTGAAAGATAAATATGTGTCTCTCATGAAACAGTTTAATGTCCTCGATAAATTTCTTTATAATCAATATATTAGTAGGTTTGAATTTGAGCTAAAAGAAAATCCGAAAGCTTTTTGGAGCTTCATTCGCTCCAAAAAAGGTTGTTCAAACATACCAACATGCATGAATTTTAATAGCAATAGTTCTCAATCTTTAGCTGATACAGTCGACCTTTTCGCGGATTTCTTCAAATCCAATTTCTGTGATGATATACCTGTTAGTACATTCCCTCCTATCTGTCCAGCTCAACGGCTAGACTTTGGAGCGCTCTCCATATCGGAGCTTGACATTATAAATGCAATTTCTTCCATAAAGTCGTCCCTTAAATGTGACAATGATGGTCTTTGTGCATATTTCTTGAAACAGTGCAGGTCTTCCATCTGTGTTCCTTTATGTAAAATCTTTAATCTCTCTCTTTCTACAGGTGTTTTTATCAGTCGGTGGAAGGTGGCATCCATCACTCCGATATTTAAATCGGGATGCCGAAATGATGTATCTAATTATAGGCCTATTTCCAAACTAACGGTCTCCTCTAAGCTGTTTGAAAAAGTGGTTAAGGATAAACTTTCTTTCGTTTGTAAAAGTATAGTGGAGCCCCAGCAACATGGTTTCGTTTGTGGTCGTTCCACAGTCACTAACTTAGCGGTATTTTCGGAATACTGTGTCTCAGCATTTAAAAGCGGTTGTCAGGTCGATACTATTTATACTGACTTTTCGAAAGCGTTTGATAAAGTTTCACATGCTATCTTGCTAAGTAAACTGCAGTGTATGGGCTTTCATTCTGTTTTCCTGTCATGGTTGAAATCTTACCTTACAGATAGAACTCTTTTTGTAGAAATTGAAAATTATAAATCCAAGTCCTTTGTTGCTTCGTCAGGTGTTCCTCAGGGTAGCATCCTAGGCCCTCTTTTATTTATTCTGTTTATTAATGATATTGGTACTTGCTTCAAACATTGCAGATATCTTCTTTACGCCGATGATCTCAAATTGTTTCGTAAAATAACTTGTCCGTCCGATGTCCTCTATCTGCAGCATGATTTGGATAATTTAGTCAGTTGGAGTATAATTAATAAGCTATCGCTCAATATAAAAAAATGCTTCCATATGTCAATTTCTAGATCCCCTTGTAAATTGGCTTCGTGTTACTCAATTTTAAATCAGAAGCTCATTTTGGTCAATGATTTTGTTGATCTGGGTGTAGTCTTTGATTCGGGTTTTACTTTTGTAAACCATGTATGCTATTTGCTTCCAAAGGCGTATAGTAACTTAGCTTTTTTACGTCGATATGCGAGGGACTTTAAGGACCCTTACACTAGGAAAATTCTCTTTAACTCGTTAGTACGTTCAAAATTAGAGTATGCGTCAGTCATTTGGAGTCCTATTTATAGCTGTCATTCTATGAGAATCGAACGGGTTCAAAGAAAGTTCCTTCGATTTGCTCTTCAACCACTTAATTTTTCCGACCCGCTTCCGCCCTATGCGGCCCGCTGTCAGCTAATAAATTTGCAGTCATTAGAAAAAAGAAGAATTATTCAGCTCCTTATGTTTCTCTTTGATTTGGTCTGTGGGAAGATCGATTGCCCTGAACTACTAGAGCTAATAAATTTCAATGTTCCTCACAGAACCTTACGATCACAACCTCCCTTTTATCTTAGTGTAGTTAAGGCAAATTTCTATTCGTTAGCGCCTATATTTAGAGCGCTCTCGGAATTTAATAACATCTCTAAGAAGATCGATATCGAATTTTCATCATCAAGATCCTTATTTAAGTCCACGCTTGAATCGTTTTACTCTTAGGTTTAGTTCATGCACTGCTATGTTAACGCTATTATCGTATAATACTTATTTTTGTAATCTGTGTAATCTAGTCTGTAAGATTTTTAATCATAGACTGAATAAAGATGAATTGAATTGAATTGAATTGAAGAAGTCATTAAGTTAGCACGGAATGCAACGAGCGGTACACGGTGGCTGGGAGGAGCAAAAGAGTACTGCGTGATTGTTACCTTAGACGTAAAGAACGCATTCAACTCTGCCAACTGGGCTAAAATACTCGATAGACTGGAGAGTATTCGAATTTCTTATTATCTTCGAAGACTAATACGAAGTTATTTCCACACGCGAGTGCTGTGGTACGAAACGGAGGAAGGCCTGCAGCGGGCGGAGATAACAGGTGGCGTTCCACAAGGATCCGTACTAAGCCCTTTACTATGGAACATTATTTATGATGGAGTTCTTTGTACCGAATTGCCCGAAGGATCATCCATAGTAGGTTTTGCAGACGGCATAGCGTTAGTAGTATCTGCGAAACTTCTTGACGTCATATGCGAAAAGGGAGCATCCTTAGTCGGCGTGATTAAAAGTTGGTTAAATAGCTTCGGGCTGAAGCTAGCCGAGCAAAAAATAGAACCAATACTTATCTCGAGTCGTAAGAAACTAGAGGAGGTAGCGCTAAAAACTGGAGACCACACCATCAAAACGAAACCCACAATTAAATACCTGGTAGTGGTGCTAGACAAGCGTCTTACTTTCAGCGGCCACTTGAGCTATGTGAGAGAGAAAGCAGCTTCAACGAACACGGGACTATCTCGAATAATGATTAATACGCGAGGACCGAAACAGCGCAGACGTTTACTCTTAGCGAGCGTGGTTAAAAGCCAAATACTTTATGCAGCCCCAATTTGGTCAACCACGGCAGAGTGTCCAGCATACTTCCGCGGAGTCAACTCAACATACCGTTTATGTGCGCTCCGAGTCTGCAGCGCCTTCAGAACAGTGTCGGACGAAGCAGCTTTCGTAATCGCCAGTATGATACCCGTAGATATACTGGCGAGAGAAGCGACGGTCCTTTCATCCACGCCGCGTACTCTAACTCAATTAGACAGACGTCAAGGCCGGTAAAGGAGCATTAGGGAGTGGCAAGACAAGTGGAATAATACGACTAAAGGTCGTTGGACCTATCGCTGCATACCAAATCTGGTATCCTGGCTTGATAGAACGCATGGCGAGGTAGATTTTTATCTTAGTCAGTTCTTTAGCGGTCATGGCTGTTTTAAGGCATACCTATTTAAATTCAAACATGAGCGCGACCCGTACTGCGATTTCTGTCGAAATGGCGTGGAAGAATATGTGCAGCACGTATTCTTTGAGTGCCCTCGATTCCATCAGCAGATGAACCAACTGAAACTAGCTGTTGGAGGGGTGTTTACGCCACAGTCAGCAGTCGACTATATGGTGAAAGAAGCCAGCGAATGGGCATCAACAAGCGGCACACTAACTTCAATTTTGAAGGAACCGAGGGACCTAGACAGACAGCGGCGTATCACCCGTGATTAAGCCAACTCTTAACATAGCCGCGGACTGTAACCAAATTATGATGTTCACAAGCCAAAGCGTAGGCGCGGACTGGAACCTAGGCCTTATTTATTTTGGACCACCCTAATGTACATGGTAGGTAGGTAGGTTGTCGCGGTCGTCTATAAGACACACTTAGGCTCACACACAGACCGCAACCTTACTCCTATTCGAGAGCGATGCTAATAAGTTAGTGGCCCAAGGTAAAATCAGAATTGGCT